CCGGGGGAGGGAGGTGGGCGGCTGGGGAGGGGGAGGAGGAAAGCCGTTCGTCCTCGCCCCGCCCCTGAGGTGCTGGGTGGTGGTCTGTGTCCCCTCCCTTGGGGTTCATTGTAAATGCTGTGGTATTACGTACGGTGTGAGAGCAAAAAATGGGGTTTAAACAGACTTTAGGAGCCTGTGTGTAAAGCGTGTTCCGTCTACTCCTGTCCCTCTGCTCTGTGTTATAGTGGGAGTGCTGAAGAGTCATCCTTGTCTGAGCTTGAAGTTTCCTTGGGAATTGCAATTCCAAATGTTACACATTCCGAAAACACAGTCTGAGCAGCTTGGCACTTAGTTTTTGCCTAAAACCTTCTGGTGCCTGCCAGTTGGGTGAGATAATATGTGAATCCTTTCACAAGTAGTATACTAGGCATGTATGAAAAATGTATAATAGGATAACTCATTTTGTTCATATCTTCCTACAGCAATTGCTAGCCTTATTTAGAATGCGTTAGGGGTGTTCGTGGTTTTTTGTAAAGCCTGGTGATTAGCCCTGTTTTCAGGGAGCAAGACATTGTTCCATATCTGGTCAGCCAGAGGAGAATCAAACCCGTAGTTCCTAAGAAACTGCCATGATGACCAGACAGTAACTTTATGATAGGTATCATTCCCTTGCCGAGGTAAAGCAATGTCATTTTACACCAGAGAATGCCAGGTCCTTTGCACTGATATGAATGATGGAACTGGATTGTGATTACTTTTATTTTGTCTGAAGTCTGTTTGTCTTTCACTGAGACTAATTTTGCAGTTGCTTTCTTGCATCTGTATTCCATGGGTCAGATGCTTCCAGTGTGCCCAGGGGATAACAGACCTTAAGTGTTCAAACTCATGCTGCAAGGGAAGTAACAGGTTGTAAAAATACTTGTGAGCAGCCAAAAATTAGGAGAGATTGGAAGCTGGATTTGGGCTAGACACATAGTTGGATTGGGAGATCAAGCTGGTCCTGGGAATTACCAGAGGAAGTGTGACTTGCCATTTTAGGATTGCGAACTGTCCCAAATATGAAGTGAAGATTTGAGTTCTTTAGCAGCTAAAATGTGGATGTATCTGCCCTTAGTTCCTTCAGAACGATTTGCAAGTCGGGTAGCATTTTGTGGTGTTCTAGGTGCTATGTTTTTCTTGGGGAATATTCTGCTTGGAATTACAGAACTGTTCTTCAAAGAAAAATAATTTTCAAAAGTTATCTTTAAAAAAATATCACTGAGACTTCATAATGCTTGCAAGGAAGGAAATGCTAGATTTGTTTGTGCATTTTATTATTTCATTAAAAAGCAGTATTTAAGTACAAGAAAATACCTCAGTTGATCACTTCATTTAGAGCATAGCAGAGAGATGCAGTGAAACACAACTAAGATCATGCAAGCTGCTTTGAGTCCGATCTTTTCTAATGTACATTTAAGTGATTTTGCTTGTAGCCTAGTACTTATGGGTTTTTTTTGTTTGTTTGTTTGTTTTTTCTTTTTTTTTTTTTTTGTATGTAGTTACAAGTTAGAAGGAAAAAGTAGAACAGGAAATTCTGACACAAAAAGCCTAGATGTAAAGATAGATGGCACTGTTTCTGTGATTACCTAATCCTACTTTTATGCCCTTATTTTGTGTCAGTGTCTTCAGTGTCTTGTATTCTCTTAAATATTTTAACATATAACACTATAAATATTTCATTATTAGACTATGAGGAATATGTTTGCCTCTTTGTATTAATATGAGGGCCTTTTACACTTATACATTAAAAAAAACCACTTCCCTTTTCAAAGTCAGTAGTTTTTAGTAAGTTCTCTCACAAGGTGTTGTAACTGTTAAACAAGTAAGTTGTAACGTACACTTTCCCTGAAAATTCTGACTTTATTACAGTGGTTTTGTGCTTTATTGTAGGATTGCCTTTCAAGAGCATTACATACTGAATATAGGAGTGGAAGCTCCCTATTATACAAAGGTAATACCAAGCGATAGTGCTTTGATGTCTTTTCCAGGGAAAATATATATTAAAACTATCATTTCTAAATTTGTTTTAAGTAGTTTTGTATTTTCTCATTTTAAATAGGTAGACTTTCTTGATCAGGGGTTTGTGATATCTTGAGAGCCAGCCTGGGAACGTTAACATTCACATGAAGAGCACAAAGGATGCTTTAGGACAGTGGTTCCCAACCTGCTTGCGTTCAAGTCCTGCTTGAAGTAGTTGATAGCAGTTGGTAGCAGTTCACCTCATAATGCATACATTTGGCTTTAATTTAAAGATATGTATAAAATTAATATTTGGAATGTCTTTGGTCTTCTTGAGAAACAACTTGCTGGTGCATGTGGACAGCAGGGTAAAACACTGTATTTTTCAGGCTTTGGTTATAGAAAATTTAGTATATGAAGGCAAACTGTAAAACTTCAGAAAGACAAATCTAGTTTGAACACTAAGTTATTCTTCCTATAGTTTAAGCTATTATAATTCTTCATTCATTTGTCAGCCTGCATCAGTGGTTTTTTTTGGTTCTTAAACCTACATGATTACATGACAAGCATTTCTAATAAGCCCTTGTCAATTTCTTAATGTCAGCTTTTCAAATGCAAAATTAAGTTGTTATTTTATATATTCCAGGTGACATGGACAGCTCACTGGAAAATACAACTATTTCTGTATCCAAATGTTCTTTAGAGTCAGAATTTACTGAAAGTGGAAGAGAGAACAGCATCAGATCTAGTGATTTCCTACAAAGTTTTAAAGACTGGGATTGGTAAGAGGTGTTTTCTCTTCAGCTCTCCTTTATCATTTATTATCTCTCATAATCCAGATAAACCATGAGTAAACAATATGTTCAGATTGCACAGATCCAGAAGTCACTTTAAGATTCATGTTTTCTTGTTAGGTAAAGAACTGTTTGTGGCTGATGTATGAAATAATGTGAATGCTGATTTTGAGGAGGAGTATGGTCTCACTTTCTAATCTAATCTGTGTTGGAATTGCTGGTGGGATACAGGGATGATATAAACTGAAGTAGGGGGAAAGCAAATAGCTCAGTCTGATGAACAGCTTTAAGTTTATTTAGAGATAATTTGATTCCAAAAGCTACGAAATCTCTTTTCAGGGCTACTTTACACCAAATATGAAAAAATAATGAAAAAAGGGGTTTGGTATTTTTAGCTTTCCTGGAATTTGGTGGTTGGTGGTGAGAGAAGAGTGTTGGTTTTACCTGCTGCATGCATGTGCTTACAGCATGAAAATTCTAGTTATTGTTACCACTTTTAAGTCAGCAACATTACTAATTGTTGTGGTTAAAATCTTGTGAGTAATAATGCCTTCCATCCAAATAATTGAACTCTGCTATTTGTTATCAGTCTGATATCAAAATCTAGATTGAGCAATTTTTACATTTTTATACAAACTTCTCTCAATGCTCTGTCAATGTAGTGTGTTAGAAAGGGACTGAGTAATTTCAAATTATTGCTTTTTTGTATTTTTTAGTTTTGATGATGAGCAGGATTCTTTTTGTGATTCAAGTCATCTAGAAACAGAAGAAAAGACCATTAATTGCTCTGGAACTGATGCAGTTCAAAATACAGCTATATATGTGGGAACAGGTAATAAATACTGAATTTTAAATATTTTTACAACTCTGTGTGAAGTGTAACATGTAATTTAAAAAAACTTTCTAACAAATGTATTTCTGTTCAGCTCAGAAATACAATCATCAGCTAAAATGTATTTTAATTTGGGGATTTAACCTTTCATATAAGTATGAGTAGCTCCTTTAGAATTAGTTTAGGAGGTCCAGACATACTTGATGCAATACTAATATACATTTTAAAAAGAAAAATCAACCTTTTGTGAAACTGGTTGCCAGGTGACTTTATAATATGAATGAAGAAACAGGGTGGGGTTTGGGTTTTTTGTTTGTTTTATTTTGTTTTTAGTAGCTAGCTGCATTAACAAATACTACAACTCTGTTAAGTCAGATGTCTTGTCAATTTAAGGATTGAAAACTGGCAATGGGGGGGGAGAGAGAGAGAGAGAGAGTGTTGTCTGTGTTCACTTAACTCAGGAAATTCTAACTAGAAGACTGTAGCAGGGACCAGCTGGCATTAATTCAGGGCAAATGTTTGAAAATGCTGCTGCAGTTGGAGGATTTTGTGAATCGGTGTAGCTCTGTCTCTTGTGGAGAGTTTTATGTTTAGGAGAACATTTGTGTATTCTTTTGAAAGTGTGTCTGGAAATGTGGAGACAGCCAGCCAGCCAACCAACCCCAAAGTGGCCAAAAGGAATCTCAGAAGCCAGGCAGAAAAGATCAATGGAACTGGAATAGACCCTCACCAAGAGTTGTATTAAATAGGTGGGGAGAGTATAAGAACAGCTTTCTGAAAACACATTCCTTCTGAAAAGAAAAAAGAAAAATAATTTAATTACACCAGGAAAAATGCATAGTTTACAGTATTTGGGATCAAAGGCAAAATAAATACAGAACTCTGATAAATGTTACACGCATTTGTTTCAGATATGACTACTTTTTTCTGGTTTCTTTTCCCTTTATTTTTGTGTTATAATTCATGTAGCATTGTAATAGTTACGTTCTCCTTCCTCACCCCTGAAGCAGACACACTGTGGCAGACCAGCAGGTTTGGTTTATTGTCCTGCTCCAGCTGTGATGGGTGATCAATCCCAGGGCAGTTACCTGATGTATACCACTAATTAGCCCTGATTACATCATTTGCTTACCTAGTAACCTTCTTCCTGTTTCTTGATGCTCCTTCTCATTATCCTTCTTTTCTCTTCCTCAGTTGCCTGCTAAACGCACACCCTATCCCTAATTACTTTTTCCTCATTGGTCTGAGTTTTGCTATATCTGTACCCCTTGTGGTTTAACCCCCACAGGCAGCTCAGCCCCACACAGCTGCTTTCTCACTCCCCCCACCAGGTATGAAGGGAGAGAATCAGAAGGGTAAAAGTGAGAAAACTTGTGGGTTGAGATAGAGACAGTTTAATAAGTAAAGCAAAAGCTGCATGTGCAAGCAGAGCAAAACAAGGAATTCATTCACGGCTTCCCATTGGCAGGCAGGTGTTCAGCCACCTCCAGGAAAGCAGGGCTCCATTACGTGTAATGGTTACTTGGGAAGACAAACACCATCACTCCAAATATTACCCCTTGCTCCTCTTCCCCTGGTTTTTATTGCTGAGCATGATGTCATATAGTATGGGATATCCCTTTGGTCAGTTGGGGTCAGCTGTCCCAGCTGTGTCCCCTCCCAAATTCTTGTGCACCCCCAGCCTACTTGCTGGTGGGGTGGTGTGAGAAGCAGAAGAGGCCTTGACCCTGTGCAAGCAGTGCTCAGCAACAACTAAAACATCCCTGTGTTATCCACATTGTTTTTGTCACAAATCCAAAACATAGCACCATACCAGCTACTATGAAGAAAATTAACTCTATCCCAGCCCAAACCAGCACAGCACACAAACTTGTATTTCTTATACTGTCACCTAGGTAATCTTGGCCTGATGTGGTACCTAGGTGCAGTTGGCCTTGCAAGATGTCTCTCACCAAAAGACCCAATACTTCCCTTCAATTATCTGTGAATTTGGGCCATTTGACTACTTGTGAAATCCAGCCATTCCTCACCGTGCCATCTGCAACTTTCATTATCTTCTTACACTGTAATCTGTCATGTCTAGCAGTTTCTCATGTCGTGTCCAGTAGTTTCTTAAGTCTTGTTCTGTTAACTTAGATGTCAGGCCAAGGTCTAGTCAGCAGCGAATCACTTGCCTAAAGCCCTTACAAAAATAATAGGAGATTTTGGCTACATTATGATTCAGCCTGTGCATAGATTTCATACAGATTTCTATGAGATTTCTATATTGAAATGGAGGACATCGTTTTACTTAGAGAACATCATTGATCGCTGATCGATTCAAACAAGTCATGGACCACAGCTTTGAGCAATTCTTCATAATTCTGTAGGAGATTACTTGCTCATTTTGATACTGCTTGCTCTATACTTGTCACTCTAAATGCCTAAAATAAGTTTTTGAAGTTTTGGAACAACAATCATCATTATTTATCTAGGACTAATTTTTTAATGTGAAATGGGTTTTTCCTTTCCATAGGCAGCACCTTACCATCCCATTTGGGTGCAAATACACAAGAAAATAGTGACCAAAATATTGCCAATGGTTTACTAAGGAAAATGGTGAGTGGAACTGGTGCTGAAGCCTGCAATAGTCAAGGCTTAATACCACCTCACATCAGTCAAATTTATGATGAATTATTTGTCATACATCAGAAGCTCCAGGTAGGAACTGAAATCACCTTAAAACTTTTGTTGAGTAATGTTATGAAGATTCTCACTGTTGAAAGAGAATTCAGAAATTACTTATATGCTAAATCACTCTTACTTATATACTAAAACTTACTTAGTTATATCCTAAAACTGTTACTTATTAATATTACTTATACTAATCACAATTACTTATACATTAAAACTCTTGTCATCATCTGCCTCTTCACTGATTTGGTAGTGGAGCTTTGACTTGCATAGTGGGTAGATCAGATAAAATTCAGCTTGAGGGAGTTTGAACACAGTGCTTCTACATCCAAGAGGAGTGTCTTGTGGTGCACTGTGGGCATGGAGGGAAACGCCTGTGACCATTGCTTCGCCTGAGAGCATCTGAAACTGTTCTCCTGGCTCTAGGCATTCAAGAGTGCTTGCCTTCATGGCCTCCTGCAAAAACCCTCCGTTCTGCCTTATATTTACTTTTCTGCTTCTGGGGAATCCCAACAGTTCATCCCCTAGAAGCCTAGGCCACTAACAGAAGAACCTCTTATAAGATTTTATTCTGTAATAGCTCCCATCTAGCTTCCGCTAGATTCTCTGGCAGGACTGTCATTTGCAAAAATAATTTTGTATCTCTTTTTTTTTCCTCACCGCTTTTTCAGGGATGCTTCTCATTAATTGAAGAAACAATATAGTAATCTAGTGTTCAGGATAGACAGTTGCATCATACTCTGTTTTGCCTTACAGTTAATACCATTATCCAAAACTTTTGGAAGCAAAAGCCTAAGTTTAATTGTCTAGGTTTATACTTGAACAACCATGCAGAGTTGAATTTTGTATTTTGGGAGGCCAAGCCATCCTGCTGCACATCAAAGTCATTTGGGTTAATGTGTGGGGAAACTAAACCATTGGGATACTTTTAATTAGGAAGATACTGTGCAACGCTGTATCATTTTACAAAAAGTTGGGCATATCTCTGGGAGAGAAAATTCAAATTCAGTATAAATTGTGATCATTTCATGGATTTTAAAGCTGTTTCAACGTTTGTTTTCTTGATACAGAGAGAAAGTTCAGCACAGCAGGAGTATGCTCTGCAACTCCAGAAACGAGAGCATTTTCTCACAGAGCGAGAAGCATTGCTTTTTAGACATGAAGCAGCTTTGGCTAAAATAAGAGGTGTTGAGGAAGAAGTTCACACAAAGTTTGGAATTATAAAAGAGGTGCAGTAATATATTTAATGACGTTTATTGCTCTACATGCCATTTAACTTGTTTGTAGTTATCTTAAGTCATCATGTGTTTTCTGGATGTAATGCTTATTTCTTTAATGTGCTGGAAATCCCCAAATGAAAGGTTAACATAAAAAGTACAAAACAATATCGATAGGGTTTTTGTATGGGTTCTGTTTCAGAATGGTGCATTTAGTTGTCTGATAAGTAGGTACATTTTACTGTTACAATTTAGAAAAGAAAGGTAACTTATTTCTAAAATAGCAAAAACTGTATGACTGGTATTAGAGAAAAAAAATTGGTCTATCTGTAATTGTATGTAACCTAAATGAGTATCTTTGCATTAGGTGTAGTTGAAGTAGGTTTCCTTGGGAAGGCTTTAAGACACAATGAGATCTTATGACATAACAACTACTGCAGAGAGAGTATTAGCAGGAAAACACTCAAAAAGTTCAAAGAAAAAGATCAGCCTAACTTTGAGAGTGTGGGAGGAAATGAAATGGTATGATTTCAACAATGGAAAAATGTGTTCAACACCACTGTTCTCATGGGTGTTTGCTATTGAATTTAGGTCTTGTGAAAAGCTTTGGTTATTAACCAGAAGATCACCAAGAGAAGTCCTTAAATACGTGTACTTAGTGTCAAAAACAAAAGATGAGAAATTAAATTTCTTTGAAGTGGGCAGATAAACCTTTCCCACGAGCTGTTGAGGGAGGATAGACTACATGTTAAAAAGGGGAAAAGAGTGTCAGAGGAGTGGGACCTCAACCTCTGAACAGGTTAAGGTGTTAATTTAGATGTTTCAAATCTTCTGGGCTTTAAGAATGTTACACCAGTTAGAGAACTGGCTGATGAAAACCCAGGAAAAATGAGTGGTTATCTGTGAAAATTTGTGGAGGTCAAATGGAGTATTAGAAGACTGAAAAAATGTGCCTTTCTTTTCAAAAGGGAGAGAGTTGTAGAGCCATCAACTTAATGCCCAAATTCTCAAGACAAATAAATAAATAAATCCTGAAACAAGCTATGAGCAAACCACAGGAAGCATAATGCAGAAAACGATGCAATAAATAACTACTAGCATATGTTAATCATGGATTGTCAAATCAGTCTCATTTCCGCTACAGCAAGGTAATGGGCATTGCTAGTAGAGGACTAGTAGTTATATATATGTCTGGACTTAATTAGAAATTCTTTATACAGCTTTGCATGGCATTTTCATAATTAGCAAAGTATAACATAGATGTAATGCAGTTGGTGTAAAGCTGTAGTGAGACAGTAATTCACAGTAAAGTTGAAGGAATGTATATAGTTGCTTCTGGAATATCTTTTCAGTCCAGTATTATTCAGTATTTTCAATAACAAGTTTGATGGTGAGAAAGCACATTTATTAAATTTGAAGAAAATGGCAAGTGAGGGGGAATTTCAAGCATACTGAAAAAGAACATTAGGATTAAAATGGATCTTGACAAATAGAAGATATGGTAGGTCTGAAAAAAGCCATTATGCTATTCAGAAGGTGTGAGTGTACAGTATTGCACTTGAATAGAAGTATCAGCTGCTGAAATAGAGGATGATGAGTGGTTGCATGGGTTCAACATACAGGATGAATTGAGGGTGAATGTGTCAAGCTTCAGCTACATAAAAGGGTGCAACAAAGAGGAAGAAACTAATATTTTTTTCATGTCTGTGATAGGACAAGTAGTAGTAGGAAGGGAAAATTAGGTTAAGTATTAGGAAAAACTAGATCTAAACAAAAACGGTTAAGCACAGGGACAGGTAGATTGGTAAGACTGCAGTGTTTCCAGTATTAGAGGACTTAAGAACAGAGTAGGCAAATATCTGGCAGGAGTGAAATGATATAGCTGCTTATGGTATGGATGACATCACCTGATTTGCTTATGGAAGTGGATGGCTTAGATGTCCTGGCATCACCTACAACCCTATGGCTTAACAACTGAGTTGGTTCTACTTACCTTTCAGATTAATAATTCTCTACTGATTCTTCCGAGAACAGCTATTGAACTTCAAATAAAGCTCTTAACTGTGTATGTAGAAAACAGAAGTGAAACATTCCATGTGATGTGAGAGGGTGCACTCAATTATATGTTGGCAGTGTCTGCATGTTTATTGGTATGAAAAGGGGACCTGTCATTTCATGTCATCTTAGCCAAGTGTGAGTATGTGCTTTAGACAAGAATGTCCTGCCCATGGTTGTTTTGATCCTGTTGGCTGAAGAAGAGCGGCAGTTGAGAAAAAAGGAGTTGCAGATGGTTTTTCTGTATAGCGGGAATGGAAGTTACTGTGCTTCCAAGCAGAAATATAGAATCATAGAATATCTCAAGTTGGAAGGGACCCATAATAGAGAAGGATCTCTTCAGGGCTTGCTTCCTTTAAACTTCTACTGTGCTTTATTTTTTGTCATTTGCACATGTAGGAAGAGAGGATATGACTGGAAATAGAAAAGTAGAGAATGAGTGGGTAAATGAGTGAAGAACAGTGAATTCATGGAAGGGGAGAAATGAAAGATAGTAAATATATATAGCTGGAATATTTTCAGTAAAATAAAACTTTGCTGTTTTATCAAATCTGAGGTATACCAGATACTTTGGTGTCCAGAGAAGATTACATCTAAAACAGGATTCAGGGGAATGAGAAGAATAGCAGTGGATATGCAGGTTGTAGTTAGCAATTCATATGCTTGTGCTGTAAAGCAGAGCACTAGTCTGAGAGACATAGGATTAGTTTCTTGCTCTGCATGATTCAGAGTGAGCAAACCCAGAAAAACTAGTTGAAACCTCAAAAGTTGCTGCAAAACAGAATCACAGTTTTTTGTAATTATATGGAAGAATAAGCTGTAAATAAAAGCTTGGTCATTGGTTTTAGTTCACCAACCTTTCCCACATTTGACTTGTCTGGGAAATGTACCTATTGATAGAACCTCTTTCAGCCAGAATCTGGAAAAAATAAGAGCAATTGGCTGTGCATGTTGCTTTCAGTTTCTTTATAGATTCTTCTTAATATGCAGTGAGGATGTTGTTTTTCTCACTCCTGGTTGAACATGCAAATCTGGCCATGCAGAATTACAAACTTGATCTTTGAAACTTTTGTCCTATTATTTTAACACTAAAATGGAACTTAGCCTAGAATTGTTTCTAAAATAGTCTCTTGTGAATCATGGTTTTAAATTTGATATTTCTATAGCAACACGAGGCAGAAGTTAAACAGCTGACAGAAGCCTTGAGAGAAATAACTAAAGAAAATAGGAGACTGAAGTCATCATTTGACACCTTGAAGGAAATGAATGACTCTTTAAGGAAACAGGTAAAATTAGTTATTTCCTGTTATCAATAGTTTTACAAGTTACAGTTAACAATTCTAAGTATTTGAACAGCTTAAGTTTGCAGAATTGCTGATTTTTTTGTTTCTGTAAGACAAGACTTGTATGAATGACTGAAAGTACTTTCCACACCTTTTTCTAGTACTTGAAATTTAGCCTCTCTGTTCTTTTACAGTATAAAAAAAGTTGGACTTACTCCTCTGACCCACTAGCACCAGCTAATTGTTAGGAAGGACAAATCCAAGTCCTCTCAAGCAAACTGAGAGCGGATGGAGAGAAAGTATTTTATATCACAGTAGAATCCACCCTGTGCTGAATTGCTGTGTTGATTCTATTAAATAAAAAGCAGAATGTGTATTTCTAACTTCATGTTTGCTCAGTATTTTCAGTTATTTTTAAAAATGATAATTAAAGCAGTATTTTCTCGGTTCTTAAACTGAGGCAGTGGTTCATAGTAATACAGAGAGTAAGAATTTTCATCTCACTTGACTCTTTTAAGCCTGACCTAAAATGCTGACACACAAGTTGCTATCTAAACTGTTTGACCATTGTTTATTCAGTGAATTAATTACAGTTCTGATAGTCTGAGTACAATAACAAACTATATCGGAGCGCTGTTCTTTCTCTTGGTGAAGGTCAGACCTAACTCCTAGTATGTTGATGGTTCTGGTGCAACCTATCTGTCTCTTTATTTCCCCTCGCTATAAAATCTTTGCAAATATTTTCTGTGCAAACTGAGGGCTTCCATGAAAATCATGCTGTTCATTGTTATGCTTAGAGCATGTTTCTTATATTTAAATGGGGGTTACAGTTTCCCTCATCTTTTCTCACAGAGCAAACTGTTTTTGTAGCATGGTCAGTAACTTTCATTCTGCAGAGGAGAAAACTGTCACTCTCCCCATTAACAAGGCTATCAGACCATTCCTGAAATGTGCGCTCCATTTTTATGTCACTTCTTCATGAAAAGTAATCAAATGTGTAGTGCCTGTATATCTAGAGAGTAGTGCTTATTCTTCCCCGGCAAACTGAAAGGTTGGGCTGCAGGTCAACAAAGAGCTACTGCTGTCTTACTTATTCTGGAACAGGTTGCCCAGAGAGGTAGTGGAATCTCCCACCTTGGAGATATTCAAAAGCCATCTGGACATGGTCCTGGGCAGCCGACTCTAGGTGCCCCTGCTTGAGCTGGGGGGTTGGACCAGATGACCTCCAGAGGTGCCTGCCAGCCTTAGCTGTTCTGTGACTCTGTGATTTGTTGAGGAGGTAGATGATGATTTTGTTTCTATCACTTTACATGCTCAGAAGAAAAAAATTGAACTTAAATAATTTAGCTGCTCAGCAATCACATCAAAGTATTTCAGTGATATAATTAAGTCAAGAAGTGAGTTTTGAATCTACAGATACTTTAATGTTTTCTGATTCTTTCAGTTAAATGATGTAACTGAGCTGAACAAGAAGTTGGAAGGTCAAGCAAGAAAAGTACAAGCTCGTTTAGAGAATCTACAAGTAAGGTTTGTTCTTACATGTACCTGCTTCCTTTATAGGTAACAAGTGAAATATAATTCATTGTTATATTTTGTTGTAGAGGAAGCATGAATTTTTAATGGTACAGAAGTCTAAGGATATATGTCAAGTGGTGCAACAAAGTAAACCTGTCAAGCAGGAAAAAGTGATCGTAACATCAAAAATTGCTAAGGTAAGAATTGGCTAAAATGAAAGATTCATTCTAAAGACATTAGGCAGTGGAACATTCCCTATGTATCTGCTAGAAATTAGAAAATGTAACTTCCAATTTTATTTTATGAGTGAATTAGTTACAGTAAGAAAAGATACAGATTATATTGGGGGAAAACTGACAGTTATCAAAGAGTTAAGCTTGTTGCTAAAGACGTCTGTTGGATTTCATATTGTGTTTGTATATATTTTTATTTATATGGTATGTTTTTCTCTTCCTGTCACATCATCTTTCATCTGTCAATTAAAATCATAACCTGCTTACACTGTAACTGGCTTCTTTTGCTGTGTCAGAGCAAATCTTAAACTTTCTGGTTGCTGCTCCAGTACAGCACTGTTCTTATGAATAACACTAGCTAGAAAGTAGTCAGTCAAAGGTATCAGATAAAGAATTTTAATCTTGCAAGCCAGAGGTGATTGTACAATTGTTATTTGTTTGAAAAGTAGTCTTTAATGAGGGAAAG